TTTGGACGAAGCCGCACGATCACAGCCACCGTCGACATTATCGTTTTTAATTACGGCCACCACTGGGAAAAAGGGAAGCCCCGAGGAGCGGCACGAATTACAGCTAGCGCCGAGACGTCAAAAAAATTCTATTATTCTCGATTCGCTGTCCTACTCGTTCCTTCTTAGGAAACGAGGCGAACTTGGCAGAAATAAGAGAAATACGAAGAACGGGGAACGTTCTATATTCAAAGGGTTGTTTTTTTCAAATTCGTGCCACCGTCGACCAACCGCGGTAAAATCCGACAACAAGGTCTCGACGAAATCCTTGGAAAATAAATTTAACCACCGCGTTCTCTTTCTGTCTCTCCTTATCCAAGCGGCCTTCTTATTCTCTTCTTTTTTTTCTGCCCCTCTTTCTCGTATTTGGCCGAGATCTTCTTAAATTCATCGGAAGCAGAATTTGTCTCGCAGACGTCTTTTGCGGTTTGCCATTCGCGACATCGAACAGCGACGAAAGAAAAAGTTAGGGCAGAAAAATACCGGGTTGCGTTGGCAGCGACGTGGCGCCCGGAGAGTTTCGGAAAAATAAAAGTAAGCGTCGTCCAGAGTGGCGATCGCCCAAGGTATAATAATTTCGGAGAACTTTCTCTCCTCCCTCATCTTTCGCTCTATATATTTTTCTTCTCGCTCGTCCCCGAGCTATACGTCTTTCCTTTGTTACGTTTACGAGTCTCCTCGGATCCGAAGTAAAATCTCCACCCTGTGCCACGCTTCCATCCTCCCCTGTTCTTTGCTCCACCCCTTTCCCCCGCCCCTTCCTTGCTTACCGTTCGTCGTCTCTGCAGAGTGCAGCCGTGAAATAAATCCGTATATTCCGGAGGGTCTTAAATTCAACCGGAAATAGAATTTGTCCCGAAGCGGTCGCGGAAGCCAATGGCGCGAGGAGAGGCCCGCGAAGAAACTCGAGGAAACTCGAAGAAATCGAGAGGCAGAGAAAAAGCAGAGCCCATCGGGGGAACCCGTAAGGTCGCGCGAACCGTTTCCAAGGAGGAAAGAGTAGGAGAAATAGGAAGCTCGCGCGCGTTCACTTTCTTTCCGAAGCGTCATCGCCGAGAGAAAGAAATACCGGGGGGGCTGAAACGAGTCTGACAGGATTCACGATCGGTGATCGAAAAGGTTGAAATATTCGCGTTGTATTTTACGAGCAAACGTAAACGGGTAAACGAAATGACGTCGCGTAGCGATGATGAAGCGCCATAGAAGGTACGAAAGAGTCGGGATTTCAGGTCGAAAGTTTCAAATATCGATGGTTACGTCTCTCGTTCGTCCGTTTCACCCTGGTAAAAGTTCAAAGGACGTTTTATAATACTCTGGCCGAGAACGTCGAGAAGAAGTGCTCGTTAGAAGCAGCGGCGAACGTCGTGTAGCCCACGGTTGCACCTGTTCGAGTACTATTAGAGACGGCTTAAAATTTTCACGAACCTCTCGAGAGGCAGTCTTCTCCCGGCTGCCGAAATCTGCAATTTGGCGGGATCCATCGTAAGCAGGTACTTGGAAAGAAAGTGTACGTTGCAAGAGAATAGAAAAAGAAGGAGGCCTTTGCACGCTGAAGAAGGTGGCCAACCACCTCCGGAGTAGGCGAGACCCCGCTCCGCAGACGAGATCCTCCTCGTCGCGTTTACATCTGCTCCGAAGGAAGGAAAAGCAACGGAGAGAAAAAAACAGGGGAAAAAATGGGAAATCGTGGCTTATCAAAGGAAGTCTCTCTCTCTCTCTCTCTCTCTCTCTCTCTCTCTCTCTCTCTCTCTCTCTCTCTCTCTCTCTCTCTCTCTCTCTCTCTCTCTCTCTCTCTCTCTCTCTCTCTCTCTCTCTCTCTCTCTCTCTCTCTCTCTCTCTCTCTCTCTCTCTCTCTCTCTCTCTCTCTCTCTCTCTCTCTCTCTCTCTCTCTCTCTCTCTCTCTCTCTCTCTCTCTCTCTCTCTCTCTCTCTCTCTCTCTCTCTCTCTCTCTCTCTCTCTCTCTCTCTCTCTCTCTCTCTCTCTCTCTCTCTCTCTCTCTCTCTCTCTCTCTCTCTCTCTCTCTCTCTCTCTCTCTCTCTCTCTCTCTCTCTCTCTCTCTCTCTCTCTCTCTCTCTCTCTCTCTCTCTCTCTCTCTCTCTCTCTCTCTCTCTCTCTCTCTCTCTCTCTCTCTCTCTCTCTCTCTCTCTCTCTTTCTCCCCGTCTCTCTCTCTCTCTCTCTCTCTCTCTCTCTCTCTCTCGAGACGCCGAGCTGTTTTCGGCAATTGCTACTGGGTCTTGTCAAAAAGTTGAAAGAGAGAGGCTGTTGAAAAGAGGCACTACGGGTTTCTAGCCCGGCCGTGGCTGGCAAGGACGACGAGAAGAGAGTATATAGAGGGCGAGAGAAGAGAGAGCGAACGAACGAGAGGCGGAGGAGGAGGACATCTTAAATTTTTTACGAGGCCACTCGTGAGCAATGGCAATGGAAGAAGGCGGCAAGCACCACCGCGTAGACCTAGGAGGCGCTGTGCACAGCTACCAGCAGCGTTTCACCGAAGTCTGCAATTTCGCGGATGCATCTTGGCCGGTCTGGCTAGAGCAAGAGAACGCGAGGGAAGGAGGAGAAGGTCTTTGCCCGCTTTAGAAGAACTCCTAAAGCGCGCCTTCTACCTCCCCTTCTCCCTCGGCCCACCTTCCCACTCTCTACTATATTTTAGTACTCTAGAATTTCGTGCTTCCTCCAGCCCTCTGCCCAACCCTCGCCACCTCTTCGTTTTCGAACCCCCGACTCTTCTATACGAACCTCTCTATCTCCTCTTTCCTCCATTCCCTTCTCTTCTTTGCTCTTCTTTATTCTTCTTTATTCTTCTTTATTCTTCTTTCCTCCCGTCTTTTGCATCCCTTCTATTCGCTTCTCTTTCCTCCTCTCTTTTTCCCTTGTTCGTCCCTTTCCGTCGAAGAATAGCAGCGAGACGCCGTGCCGGCCAGACCTTGCGGCCTACCAGAGCGAACGAGATCAACTCGCAGCGAAACCTTGGTCGAACGAAGACGCTCGATCTCTGTCGGTCGCGCGTTCTGTCTCGCGGTTCTACGTGTGCCCGAGAGAGGCGAGAGAGACGGATAAACGCATGGTATTGATCCTGAAACCCCTTGCTCCTCGTCCCATCCTAGCTAGCACCCCTTCCGCTACATCGACGAACCCCAAAGTTGCGTTCACATACACACAAACACACATACACACACACACGCACGCGCGCGCTCTTACTCGCTCGCTCGCTCGCCACTCTTCCTACCCTTTTCTTCCTGCTTTCGGCATTTCCTCCCTTTAGACTCGGCTAGATGACGGGTGCAACGAGTTACGCGAATTTCACCGAGCTTGGATGCGTGTTCAAGGTTGACCTTGAACTTGAAGTTACTCTCCAACCATGTATGCACCGCGCTTTTGTCGCGCGGACGTTTCTCCTCTCCCACTTGCCCCTTTTTCCACGCGCATTTTCCCTCTGCCACGCGCATTTCCATCTCGCGTAGAACAGCTTTTATCCCGGTATTCGTCCCGTTTCGGTGACGATGGATACGCGTCGTTATCACGCGGACGAGATCGTCACGAGGAAACAACAGTGCGACCGACGATAGACGGAGGTCTTAAAACCTCCAAAATTTCACAGTGTCGGAACGCTCGAGACTTTCCCGCTTTCTTTCTCTCGTGCGAATTTTTCGCCTCGTTCCGTCGCGCAAAATTTCCTGCTCGTACGAAACAGCTTTTATCCCGGTAGTTGTTCGATTCGAAGAACGATCGACACGCTCGAGCGTAGTAAGAGATCGTTACGAGGAAACGAAATAATAGTCGGCGATGCTAGAAGATAGAGGTCTTGGCCAAAGCTTCGCGAACTTGGAACACGCGGTCGTCCGTATGCCGCGTATCGCGTCATTTGGCACGCTCCGAGAAATATCGGAGAAACAATGATCCCTGCAGAGTCATCGGATTTAACGGTACAGGTGCCAAACGGCCGTCGATCGTGGTCGTTAACGGACGAATGGGGGCTCGGGCCAATATTCGGTAGTCGATTTTCACGAGTCGTCGAAAACGTTCGATCGTACGGTGGGACGGGGGACGAACGATCGGTCACGTTTGCCACAAAAGAATCTCGTTTCCACTCGATGAATCTCTGTATACGAGTTTATTCGACTTTATTCGGTGTCGAGCGAGGGTGGAAGACTACTTGCAGCAGCCGGATGAAAGTAAAGCATTCGGTAAAGCCGCGCAAGAGCGTCTCCAAAGTTTCCCGTTTGGCTCGGGGTTTAACTCGATCGAAGCCGCCTGTCGTTTTTAACCTTCGGAACGAAACTTTCCTACGACGATCGTTCGCCACCAAAGAAATTTATCGTCGGTCCGCCTCCTTTTATGTTTCGTATAGACGAAATCCTGTTTCGTGGTGTGAGCACCAAGTCACATTTTCCATATCTCACGTGGGAGAAATTTTCAAAGTGCCGCGGTAAGCAAATCGCTGGTTTTCGAACGCCTGACTTCTACGTGCTTCGGCGCGGAACGTTCTTACCCGTTGTAGTATCGTCGAACGCTACTTGCAGCTTTGCGCTCTTCTCTAGCGTCTAAGTAAAAGATGGTGTAAAAGCGCGACTTCCGTTCGAAAACAGGTTCCGTAAATTTGTAAAGTTTTAGCGAACCGCTGCGCCATTTAAAACCACCGAAGTAAGAAACAAAGAGACAAAAAGAGTCAGATACGAGGGATGGAAAGCGTATAAAACGGTATCCCACTAGTTAGACGGACTCGATCGTCGCGACCGCGGAGAACAGCCAAAAAACGACCGTGCCGTTGTTTCCATTTAGGGATGTCATTAGAGTCGCGCGCTTCGTATCTCGACGAAAGGAGATGGAAATAGAGTCGGCGGTCCGTGTTCGGTCGGTGGAGATATCAGAAAGAAGGTGGTAGAAGGGTAGAGACGACCGAATGGGGAAGGATATTTCGCGGATTTTAATTAATGCGGTTCATCTTTGTTTCTTTCAGACGAGCCAGCCCGTGGAGCGTGGAGCGCGCGTCTATGAGAAAATTCAGGCGTTGACGGGAAGAAGAGACGAAAACCAGGAGGAGAAAAGTACAAAAAAGAAGGAAAAGAAAAAAAAAATACGGAGAGGCAGAGGAAAGAGGAAATGCGACGAATCTCGGCTCGTCGTTAAGGGAAGCTGCCTTTTATAAGTGAGAGGAAAGGGGGGCGGGGGGGAAATCGAACGGGATATTCGCGGCAGTCGTGCAAGAGCGGTACCTGACTACTTCCGGTACGATCGCGAGTGGTAAATGCGGCCAAGTCCACGTCCGTCGTGTGTTTCGTGCAACCGAGAGCCTATCAATCGCGAAAAACCCCAGATCTACAACGAGCTTTCAACGAGCGGCCTAATCGCTGTTAATGGCATAGAAGGTATTCGGTGGCGATCGTTTCTTTTTTCAAGAGAGAAGGAGGAAGAAAGTCGACTGGCGAGTACAGCGAGCGACAGTAACTCGTGGACGGACAATAACGAAGAGGAGGGTGAAGAGGAAGAAGGGGTGGTGCGCGCTTTATTCGAGAAGCGAAGCTACTTTTCGGAAGGGTAAGAAACGCCGGTGGGCTGCACGGCACATCTGGAAGGGTTGCGCGACCTGGAGCAGGAGCAAGAGGAAGAGGAGGCAGGAGGAGGAGGAGGAGGTGGAGGAGAAGGAGGAGGTGGTTGTAGCGTTGAAGCTGGAGGAGTCGGGAGGCTACGAGGGTGGTTGCACGTCGTCGTCGCGTGACGTGCGGAAAGAGCAGACGAAGCGTGGAGGAGGCATGAGGAGGAGAGAGTGACGACGCTGCCGGTGCTGCAGCCTCGCACAGATCGTGAGAGGACCGGCGGCCCCACGGTGGGGCTACGATAAGAATGGCCCCCTTCAATATGGCGGGC